TTTGGAACAATACATAATTTTCATTATGGCAGAAAAACGACTAACGGAGTGTTGAAAGCACTAAGATAGGTCAAAATCATTATATCGGACAAGTATTTCAACTATTGATCCATGTGGGCATATTTCTGAAAGACTTGTTTATCGCTCATCTTGAAGGTCGTGAAATTCTCTATTGAATGGTATATGTATCATCGTGGTTAGTGGACAAGTGTGGAGCAGAGGATCGTCATTGTTGACATCTAACCATGTGTGTTTCGATGGAATTCGAGCAGGGGCGATTTCATCAAATAATCGCCCCCGTCCTTTCATGTTTTGAGCTATCTTCTTAAGCAAACATTTTCTTTCGGAACACGAAGTTCTGCAGCACTGCATGAACTCTTTGGTCAAAGTTTATAAGAGATTTTCGAAAAGACGTAAAATATGTACCATGTTGTTCTCAGAAGAGAACTTTTTGCGTTAACGCTGTTTACCGTTACAAAGATTCGTCATTCCAGGAGACAGCTAGAAAGTATCGGTTAGAATAATTATAGCAATGATCCATGGCAGTAATATAATAGAACACGATGTTCGAGTTAGATTTTAATCATTGGCAAGCTGTCATCAGAGCAATTAGGTGCAATTGTCCCTGCTAAAAACATATTCGAGAGGCAATTAGACTTGCCACACATACTGGTAAGCTTCGAGAATGAGTCCATGGCCTATATCAGAAATCTTTCAACATAAACCGGTATTTCTGTTCGTCTATAATCAGAGGGTCCTGACTCCAAGTCCCAGTCGAGGAGTATTTTTCGCCATCTTTCATTCTAAATACAAACATTTTATTTATCCAGGAGCAATTTTGATAAAAACTTTTCATGTCTTTTCTCTGTGTACTGATATTACTCTCTTGGCGGAAAGAAATTACAACTTAATCGGAAATGATTGATGGTTCTTTGTCCTTTCCCAGGAAGTGGGGGCATTGCTTCCGCCGAATGTTTCAATCAATTATTGTTGGAGAACAAAGAACGGGTATTGGTTTCTGCTGGAAAATGGTCCAATATGATTTTGAGTGAAAATAATCGCACTATTTTACTTCCAGATACTTCTGACTTTCAAAAATTGTTCCTGATCTCCTTGAAAACGTTTTCGTCACCAGTTCAAGGAAGGTCATTCACTTTGCTTCTTAAATTTTTCGTACAATTTCAAAGACTTTGACTGAAGCTCATACATAGAAAGATAGAGAATTTTCAGCGCTTCAAAGCGAGCTGTTAACAAGCTTCTCAAATATATGCGCACATAAAACAATTGTCAAAATACTAGATAATTGTCATGATTTTCACCCACCCTACACTTTAAAGGAATACTTCTTTGATGCTTCTACTCAGACCCCGAATGTTTTGTATATCAAAAGATAAAGAATTTTCTGGGCTTCAAAACAATATTTTGTTTTAAAAGTTTGCCCTCATAGACTTATTGGCTAAATACTGGACGGATATTTCGATTTTTATTCAATAAAAATAGTCACAGTTTCTTTCACAAATAGCAATTACGAATAGTTTGTATTTAGAAAAATGCAGAATTGAAAGAGCTACAAAATAAGCTATAGTACGTCATTTCAAACCTTAAGTTTAGCATACTTAGCAACATATCGAATACAGTAGGTTTGACGTGTGAGCGGACAGTGAATGAAGTACAGTGGTGTAAATCTGGACAGTCCCAGAATGGCTTCCATAGTTTTCTCTACTTTCTCGATATGAATGTTCGACGTGAAAAGAAGAGACAAGCTCTTGTAGCGCAATCGGTTAGCGCGTTTGGCTGTTAACCAAAAGGTTGGTGGTTCAAGTCCACCCAGGAGCGTATGTTTTTTGTTGAGTTATATCATATGCATTTCTTTTCATCGTTCTGGATACGGAATCAATTTTCAGTGCAGTACTCGTCTGAATTTGTGTGAGGATAGTTTGTCCTGCTTTTTTAAGATTTTCATGGCTTTTCGCACATCTCACTGCTCAATGTAACAGATTCGCTTTCATTGTGTAGATTATATTCAAAAACCAAGGAGCTCCATTTATATACTGATGGGTGAGTGTTATACAGTGTTGATCACTTGTGGATAGAGGTTCCATTGTTAGACCACCTCTCACTTCATACTCATTTTTATTTGTTTTATTTATCCTTCCTTTAGAATTATCTCATTGTAAATGTTCGGTGCTTTTTCGGCCGTTCGAATGATCCTGAAATAATCGTTGCTTGCAATGTTGTTGGCCTCTTTCCATTAATCCTTTTGAGTATTATGCAGAAGACAGTCTACGTCACCAAGTCCGGATTCCATAGTTCTGACTTTAAGATCTTTCATACTCACTTCAATCTTGCAAATGACTATGAAAATTGCATTCTCATACAGAAGCTGTAAGTCTTGCTCGTCGAATCTTTCTTCTTCCGGCTCGAAATACATTCACAAAACGTAATTAATCTGAATTTTCTTTCTCAGTAATTTGAGCTAACGGACGCACCCAAACTGCTTGGTGGCCGATCAGACCATAAAGTCTCTTCGGACACACTATCCTGTATTGAAAGTGGCACAAACGTTTTGGAAAAAATATTTGGATCACTCATCGGATTATCGTTCGCATGATGCAGTGACATGTCCCTAAGCTCCATCATGAGCCGTTTTTTTCCTTGTATGTCAGATTGTTTCCCGTTTTCTATCCTTTAGCCTTAAGCAAATCTATCAATCGTTTGACTGCCATTTGCGATGTCTCTTAGTGATCTTTCATGAAAATGTGTTTATCAGCAATAGGTTTCTTAAAATACTCGTCCGTAATTCTAAAAAGGTGGTTTTTACAAACTCAAAAAGGTATCGGAGTTGAACTAGTAAACCGTGAAAGCCACGCACTTGTTAAAGAGCAGCAATAGATTTAGAAGAGGTAGCACTAGGTAAGGTGATCATTGTGCATATCACTGTCTAGCAGTTAAATTTGTTTTAGTAACGAAAGTCAAAGAAAAAATTCCAAACGTAATAAACCCGTCAACAGTAATGATAAAAACAAAAAGCCATATGTTAGTATCACCAGATGAGATAGCCACAATAGGAAAAGTGTTATCGAAATATGGCGTCTCAATAGCAAAATACAACAAAATGTTCAGTCAACAAGTTGCATTTTCAAGTGAAGATATGAATGTTGAAGAGATCGTGGAAGAAAGACCACAACAGACAGCAGCAACAACAGAATCGCAAACTACGCGGCAATCGCTGTGTCGTAACCTGTCGAGATCAGTGGATCTCCCAGAAATGCAATTTTCACCACTGCGATATTCGTCGAAAAATAGAAAGGCGCTAGTAGCACCACTAACATCACCAAAACTTGTCACTATGTTTTCGCAACCAGGAAAGCGACCTGCACCAATAGCGGCAGAAGTTCCAAATGACAGAAAACATTACGGGCAATATACCCATACCTCTCGACGAGGAGTCAAATCCCCAGGGCTTTTGCGCGAGAAAAATAAATTGACTAATCGGTGTGACACGACATTTGCGCGAACAGGACATCGACTCTTCCACGACTTTTCATAGTATTTATTTGGGTATTTTTGCAATATGTCGCTTTTGTTTATTTTCCATAGATGGTTTGCATTAAAAGTCCAACCTGTTTTGATCATGTACAATCACCTCTTGTCTATAAGTGTGTGCTTTTAGATAATCATCGGCATACAAATCGAGTTTCGTTGTGCATTACATATCAGACGATCACAGCTTAAGGTCTTAATGTGTTTTTTGTCAATTTGAGATCAATCCGAGCTCTCCACAACGTTTCGTTAGTGAGAAATCTTGTAGTTCCAAACAGCCTCATTTTAGCCACTGTTGTAGCGACATCTCACAAACCATGCACGATGGAACCAAAGAAGAAATTTCGTCACCATACTTTCACAAGATTGGCATCGCCTAAAGGTTTGATCAAGATCGGACTTATGGTTTCAGGGATAGGTTTCTGACGTGGTGGAAGAGGGGGGCTTAACAGAGGTACGTTATATCCTTTTTGAAATTTAGGGATGTGTTTTATATAACCACACATAATATACTTTTAGTATCTGTGGACGTGTGCTTTCTTGTCACTGCAAGAGAAGGGAAAAAGTCTTTTTTAGCCGTTGACTCTATCTTTGAATAAAAAGAATTCATCAGATCGCCAACGTCCCAATGGCGCTAGTTTATCCGCATGTGTCAAATTAAGACATGTAACGTGGTTTAAACTCTTTTATATCACTAGAATTTGTTAAAAAACATCACATCGGCTCTTAAGTTCATGTGCACCATCTTTTCTAAAATGCATTTACTTATGCACTTTAGGATCTTGTAATTGGTCGTTAAACAGCCTACTGTGTATGATTGCTTGGTCAGAAACAAAGTTAAAGTAAACAAATAAATCGAATGCACTTAATCTAGTAAGTAATTTGATTTAGAATCTAAAATGGTATGTGGACTGTGGTCGAAGTGCATCCACTATCGAAGCTTAAATAAAATAGAAACACGCCTCAATGAACTTAATTACAAAGATTAGTAAAACCGTTTTAGCCGTTTTACGTCATTTTCTTTTCGATTTATTGCCAAGTTCAAAACATTTTCTGCTACAGAACGCGAAATGAACATCGATATGCTTCCATAAATCATTCTTTCTTTATATTTTATTTAAAAAAAGTTCTTCTAACGTCTTTTTTCGATTTTTAAACATCTTTTTTCGAAAAAAGAGGTTCAAACGCTCCTCACACATAAAAGCGTTTAAACATGTTCGACTCAAACGCTCCTCATGCATAAAACATGTGCTTGTTGTTTATATTCATCTAAATGAATAATGACATGATAAAAAAATTTTTTCTTTTATCTGCAGTGCAAAACACCAGTTGTGTTATCGATAAGATATTTTGAATATATTTGAAAAGTTGAATGGCGTATATCCGGCCCATATTGTTTCGTTTTTCATTGCTGAGATTGCCTTTGACCAGGTAGTTATTGTTATTCTGTAATATTATACATACTTTCTTTGTGGACCGCTTTTCCCAAAAGCACAACGAATTCGTTTTGTGACTGTGGACTAAGATATGTAACCTAGAATGGTCAAATGAAAAAACAAGCAGTTTATACTTGGATTCTAAGAGCTTTCAGTTTCTCCACTGATCCATACTTGATGTGCACGAAGATTTCTTTCTTTGAACCAGTGATCAAAACTCGACTCATGACGACGAAGTACA